CGAGGGGGGGGCGCGGGAGGGCGGCTGCGCCGAGGAGGGCCGGGCGGGAGGAGGCCGGCGGCGCGGCGACGGGAGCCCGTCCTCCCGGCTCTGTGGGATCCAGGTGTTTGGGGGTGGGGCTGGGGGTTGACTGCGGGACTGGGAAGCCTGGCGACAGGTGAGCGAGTGCAGCCTTGGCCGCAGCTGGGGAGGAAAGACCCCTGGACCAGTTGGGAGACCTGGGGGGGGGGGAGCCTGGGCTTTGTCATCAGCTGCGAGGTCTGCCTTAACTGCTCTGAGCCTCAGTTTCCCTTCTGTACAATGGCGAGAGTATCCTCGCCACTGCTTGACTCCCAGGGACAGTTCCAGAAACCACAGGGTGCTTTGCAGGTAGTGTTGGGAACAGCTGAGCCAGGGCTCCTGCTTCATAGCAGCTGCCCAGACCCTCAAAACAGTTCCTGAAGCCCAGGCTCAGCCCCATGAAAGCAAGCGTGTGTTCATGGGGGGCTGAGGCATAGACAGGGACGGAAGGTGATACAAATGATGAACATGCCCCAGGGGATTTTCCACTCGTGGCATTGTGTGAGTGCATCCCATTTTACAGATCAGAAAACTGAGGCACAGAGAGGGTGGTTCATCTGATGTCCCACTGTGGAGCCAGAGGTGAACTGAGCACTCAGGAGTCCCAGCTAAGGGCTCTTTGCACCACATTGTGCCCCAGAATCAAGGAGGGAGGAACAGCCAGTGGGGTGTCACTGCCTTGTTGGCTCCCCCCACCCCTGCCAGGTGGCTGCTCAGGGCTCCTGGGCCATGCCTGCCTCCTCTCATGTAGGCCTGCCCCTAGGGGGTGGCCTGCACATCCTGCCCCCATGGAACAGCTGGGGAACCTTCAAGTGGTCCCATGGGCGTGAGCCCACGTACACTTGCACAGGCCTGTGTGCATCTGCCCCAGGCACACTTCTGTATGCACTTGTACACAGATGTGCACGATTGCGTGTGGGCCACGTCAGCTTTGTCCCCTCTGTGTACCCATTGCCAAATCACAGGCTCTGATGTTTGACCTACATGCTCAGCAGTTGCTGGCCCCTTGCTCTCCCTGGACACTAAATCACAGGCTCTGATGTTTGACCTACATGCTCAGCAGTTGCTGGCCCCTTGCTCTCCCTGGACACTAAATCACAGGCTCTGATGTTTGACCTACATGCTCAGCAGTTGCTGGCCCCTTGCTCTCCCTGGACACTAAATCACAGGCTCTGATGTTTGACCTACATGCTCAGCAGTTGCTGGCCCCTTGCTCTCCCTGGACACTAGTTACAGCCCTGCCCCACACCAGGACCCCCACCTTCCTCTGGTGGATCCCAGGCCCACTCACCTGTGTCATCAGAGACGCTGGGCCTCTGGCTGCCGGCCGGGGAGCGTAGAACATCATCGCTGTACATGAGGAAGCTTTCGTAGTCCTCCCCACTCTGGGCATCCACGATGGGGATGTCGGGGATGATGGGGACTGCAGGGTGGCAGGAGGTGAGCCAGAACCCCAGCTGTGGCCTCCTGCCCCCCACCCATCTGCCCCACCCACCACTCACTGGACATGGGCCGCTTGGGCTGGGTGGCCAGGTTGATGATGGCCTCCCGCTCGGGCCCCCATCCAGCCCCATTGCGCGCCTTCACCGTGTAGCGGTACGGCTGGGATTCTCGCAGGTTCTCAATAAGTAGCATCCGCCTCTTGGGGCCGTCCACCAGCACCTTCTTCATGGGCCCAATGGGTCCTGGGGCAGGGAGAGTGCTTCAGAGGGGTCACCCAGGTCCCAGCCTGGTCCCAGCCCTGCCTCTGACGTAGTGGGACTTCCCTCCAGCCCCTGAACTGTACCCAGAGGGCAGAGAGCAGGGCTGGGGGCATGCAGCTGCTCAACCCCTGCCACCTGCCAAGCCCTTAGCACCTCAGCATGACTGGCTTAGAGAAGTGTCACCAACTCTCCAAAGGACGCATTGCTAAGTAACAGAGCCAGCACTAGACTCAAGGTGGCCCCGTTGTCACCTCTACCAATTGGTAAACAGTCCTATGTCCAAGGTGCCTCCACATGAGGCTCACTCAAGAGGTGAGGGGTTCTTGGCTGACAACACCAAGGAACAGGGTTCAATCCCTGGATCAGGCAGCCGCCCAAAATAAATAAAAATAAACTACTGATTTTATTTTTTAAAAAAAGAGGTGAGGAGGGTCTCAGGACGACATCCTCCCACCCTGTGCTCACTGTTGACAAGCCCCAGGTGCTCTGTTGAGGAAGCAGAGGCGGAAGCATTTGGACATCCACCACAGCTGGCCTTGGGGCTGCCGTGGCCACATGAGCTAGGACAGGAGGAGAGGAGTGGGCTGAGGGGGGCTGGCGAAGGCTGAGGGGGACAGGGTGGAGTGCAGGTTGAGGGTTGTGTGGTGATGCCAGGGGGCCGGCAGTGGCACCTTAGCAGACAGCAGGGGCCAGACAGTTCTCCTTGACTCCCACCTAGAAGGTGGATGGACACGCAGCCTGGGGAGAAGAGAGCATGGGACCCCCGGCTGCTCTAGTGCATTCCAAGTGAGTCTGACCCATGTCGGGTCCGCAGGTCATCTGGGGGTGGTGAGCTCCCCGTCACTGGGACCCTCCAAGCAGAGGCCAGGGTGCACGGAGGCCCTGCCCCAGGTGAGAGGGACGCTGATGTCCCTCACTCCGTCATCTCAACAACTGGCAGGGTCACCCACCCTTGCCTCCCTTGCAGGACTGGAAGAAGTAACAGTTCTGCCAGGTGCTCTGGCCTAGGGCTGCCAGATGAAGTATTGTATGAAACATTCTTCAAAAAATAATTGTTTATCTGAAATTCAGGGCATCCTGTGTTTTTATTTGCTAAATCTAGAACTCTACTCTGGCCCTAAAAGAACCGTGTAAGAATCAGCCACCTTGGTTTCCTGTATGGGGAGGCGCCTCTGGGCCTGTGACCACCCCCCTGTGGGCTTCTGGGCTTGGCCTTGGAATACAGCCCAGCCTAAATCTGACCAAAAACCTAACAATGCTTCAGGCTTATCTGCTGACCAGGACAACCCGCCTCAGCTGCGCTGCACAGCAGGTCTGGGGGTGACGCAGAGCCCCAGCCCTGCCTCTGGCTCCCCCCTCCCCCTCCACGGCTGCTGTCCCTGGGGGCAAGATGGAGGGGTCTGGTTCTTACGGTTTTCCTCGTTGACCAGGCCGTAGCAGACCTCGTAGGCCGTGATCTCACCATTGGTCTCAGCGGGCTCGGCCCAGCTCAGCTGGGTCACAGTAGAGGAGACGACATTGAAGGCCAGACGCCCTGGCTCGCTGGGCACTGCAGGGAAAGGGGCAGAAAAAGCGCTGTCAGCGGAGAGAGAGGGCCGAGTTCTGGGAGGCAGGGAAGGGGAGGACTGAGCACGCTGGCATCAGGGTAGCTGGGGGACAAATGGACATGGGAAGCCTCACCTTCCTGGTGGGTGCGGCAGGACACCAGGGAACTGTAGGGACCCTCACCCTGCGCCCCATAGGCGCACACCTTCATCTCATAGTCACAATACGGGTACAGGTTGGTGAGCTCCACTGAGGGCACCTTGCTGTCGAGCAGGTGGGCTTCGGACTCGGAGTCACCCTGGATCCAGTACTTCACCTGTTCACAGGTGGGGGGACTGGTCAGTCGGGAGCGGTAAGCGCCAAAGCTGCTCACCCCTCTATTGACCCCCTGCCCTACTGTCTCCTTTGCACAGATGAGACACAGGCTCAAGAGGGCAGGGGCTGAAGGACTGCCACATTCACATGGCAGGCTGGGGGCAGAGCAGAGGGGTCTCCCGGGTAGGATGAGGGGCCCCATTCAGGGAAGGAGGGCAAATGTCTGAAAAACTCAGGAATGGGTCTTCCGTCTTCCCCAGGCACAGACGGGATTTCCCTCTGTCCACTTGTTCTCAGACCCATTGGTATCAAGCATGGCCTTCCCCTCTCCCTCAGGGGCCCCTGGCCTCGGGTGGCCCACCTCTCCAATGCGTAGTGGGTGCCAGACCTCCCCATCCACCTCTGTTGTTGCCCACTGTCCCCCACCTTACCCTGTACCCCAGTGGCTTGCCAGGAGGGGGCAGCCAGTTGAAATGGATCTTCCGGGACCCGACGGCCTTAGCATTGGGGTTCTGTGGGGCGCCCAGGTCACCGCGGGGGGGTGGGGATGACAGCGTCTGACTCTTGAAGTTCCCGTCTACTTCATCTAGTGGGTCAAGTCAAAGTGGGGCAAAGGGCTCAGAACCCCCTTCACCACCAGGGGACGCCAGGGACTCAGCTGCACACCCAAGGCTCCCTGGCCCAGGGCATTCAACTGAGGCCCATCCACCTGCATGCCTGGTGGGGCTGGTGCCCCACTGGTGCCTCAGAGGGCATCATGCCAAGCTTGGGAAAGGGCCCAGGAGGGTCTCTGGAGGAAAAGAAGGAGGGAATACTCCACATGAGAACATTTGCTCCCTGCTCACATCTCCACCCCCCTACCCTGAATATCTTCCTCACCTCAGGGCTGGGGTCACAGATGCCACCAAGCTGGAGGCTGAGGACTGATAAGAACTAACTGGATTGCACTTTTTGAAAGGATAAGTATGTCCCAAGTATGTCCCAAGCACTATTTGGGACATACTTACACTACAAATGTGTTTGTCGTTTATGCGAAATTCAAATTTAACTGGGCATCCTGTGTTTGTATTTGCTTAGCCTGGCAGCCCTAGTTGAGGGTCCCCCAGCCCTTCCTCTCCGCCTGCCTAAGCTGACCCCAGGCTCTGCACACCTCGGTCCCCAATGATGACAGTGGCCGAGTGGGGCTGGCCCAGGCGGGCCCCAAACTTGGGGTTGCTGAGTTGGATGTGGAAGCGGCGGGTCTGGCGGCCCCGCAGGAGAGAGTCTACCTCCTGTAGCTCCAGGAGCTTCACCTGCAGCTCTTTCCAGCTCTCCCCAGGGAGGAACAGCAACTCGCCCTCCACGGGGATGTAGTCCTGGGGGCAGAAGGGGTCAGGGTCAGGTCAGCTGGGCGATGAGGCAGCTTGGGAATTAGAGCCTTCGAGGGGGGACCACAGAGTCATGGCCTCACGCTCCNTGAAAAATGTCTGTTCAGCTCCTTTGCCCATTTTTTAATTGGGTCATTTATTTTTTTACTGCATAATTGCTTGAATTCTATGTATATTCTGGATATTAGTCCTTTGTCAGATGCAGAGTAAACAAAAATTTTCTCCAACTCTTTATGTTGTCTTTTCACTCTGTTGATTGTTTCTTTCACTGTGCAGAAACTTTTTAGTTTGATATANTTGACCAGGCCGTAGCAGACCTCGTAGGCCGTGATCTCACCATTGGTCTCAGCGGGCTCGGCCCAGCTCAGCTGGGTCACAGTAGAGGAGACGACATTGAAGGCCAGACGCCCTGGCTCGCTGGGCACTGCAGGGAAAGGGGCAGAAAAAGCGCTGTCAGCGGAGAGAGAGGGCCGAGTTCTGGGAGGCAGGGAAGGGGAGGACTGAGCACGCTGGCATCAGGGTAGCTGGGGGACAAATGGACATGGGAAGCCTCACCTTCCTGGTGGGTGCGGCAGGACACCAGGGAACTGTAGGGACCCTCACCCTGCGCCCCATAGGCGCACACCTTCATCTCATAGTCACAATACGGGTACAGGTTGGTGAGCTCCACTGAGGGCACCTTGCTGTCGAGCAGGTGGGCTTCGGACTCGGAGTCACCCTGGATCCAGTACTTCACCTGTTCACAGGTGGGGGGACTGGTCAGTCGGGAGCGGTAAGCGCCAAAGCTGCTCACCCCTCTATTGACCCCCTGCCCTACTGTCTCCTTTGCACAGATGAGACACAGGCTCAAGAGGGCAGGGGCTGAAGGACTGCCACATTCACATGGCAGGCTGGGGGCAGAGCAGAGGGGTCTCCCGGGTAGGATGAGGGGCCCCATTCAGGGAAGGAGGGCAAATGTCTGAAAAACTCAGGAATGGGTCTTCCGTCTTCCCCAGGCACAGACGGGATTTCCCTCTGTCCACTTGTTCTCAGACCCATTGGTATCAAGCATGGCCTTCCCCTCTCCCTCAGGGGCCCCTGGCCTCGGGTGGCCCACCTCTCCAATGCATAGTGGGTGCCAGACCTCCCCATTCACCTCTGTTGTTGCCCACTGTCCCCCACCTTACCCTGTACCCCAGTGGCTTGCCAGGAGGGGGCAGCCAGTTGAAATGGATCTTCCGGGACCCGACGGCCTTAGCATTGGGGTTCTGTGGGGCGCCCAGGTCACCGCGGGGGGGTGGGGATGACAGCGTCTGACTCTTGAAGTTCCCGTCTACTTCATCTAGTGGGTCAAGTCAAAGTGGGGCAAAGGGCTCAGAACCCCCTTCACCACCAGGGGACGCCAGGGACTCAGCTGCACACCCAAGGCTCCCTGGCCCAGGGCATTCAACTGAGGCCCATCCACCTGCATGCCTGGTGGGGCTGGTGCCCCACTGGTGCCTCAGAGGGCATCATGCCAAGCTTGGGAAAGGGCCCAGGAGGGTCTCTGGAGGAAAAGAAGGAGGGAATACTCCACATGAGAACATTTGCTCCCTGCTCACATCTCCACCCCCCTACCCTGAATATCTTCCTCACCTCAGGGCTGGGGTCACAGATGCCACCAAGCTGGAGGCTGAGGACTGATAAGAACTAACTGGATTGCACTTTTTGAAAGGATAAGTATGTCCCAAGTATGTCCCAAGCACTATTTGGGACATACTTACACTACAAATGTGTTTGTCGTTTATGCGAAATTCAAATTTAACTGGGCATCCTGTGTTTGTATTTGCTAAGCCTGGCAGCCCTAGTTGAGGGTCCCCCAGCCCTTCCTCTCCGCCTGCCTAAGCTGACCCCAGGCTCTGCACACCTCGGTCCCCAATGATGACAGTGGCCGAGTGGGGCTGGCCCAGGCGGGCCCCAAACTTGGGGTTGCTAAGCCTGGCAGCCCTAGTTGAGGGTCCCCCAGCCCTTCCTCTCCGCCTGCCTAAGCTGACCCCAGGCTCTGCACACCTCGTTCCCCAATGATGACAGTGGCCGAGTGGGGCTGGCCCAGGCGGGCCCCAAACTTGGGGTTGCTGAGTTGGATGTGGAAGCGGCGGGTCTGGCGGCCCCGCAGGAGAGAGTCTACCTCCTGTAGCTCCAGGAGCTTCACCTGCAGCTCTTTCCAGCTCTCCCCAGGGAGGAACAGCAACTCGCCCTCCACGGGGATGTAGTCCTGGGGGCAGAAGGGGTCAGGGTCAGGTCAGCTGGGCGATGAGGCAGCTTGGGAATTAGAGCCTTCGAGGGGGGACCACAGAGTCATGGCCTCACGCTCCACCCCAACCTCATGGATACAGGCTGTCACGTGTGGATACAAAATAGCTCATGTTTGTCTATGGCCATACCAGCCTGAACGTGCCCGATCTCGTTTGATCTCAGAAACAGCTCATGTTTATGTAGCACCTCCTGTGTGCCAAGCACTTTACAAGTATCAGCTCACTTAATGCTGACAGCGGTGTGAAGTAGATTATTACTACCCCCATCTTACAGGTGAGGAAACTGAGGTTAAGAAACTTGCTCAAGTTCACATAGGTAGTTGTGGCGGAGCCAGGATTTGAACCAAGGCACAGAGAGAGACACAGGGATGCACCACAGAGACAGAGTGCCACACACAGGCAGACCCCCAGCCCTCAGGAGCTGGGATTTGCAGGCCCCATCCAGGAAGGAAAAAACTGTCCCCCATATTGTGGAGAGAGAGAGAGAGAGAGAATGAAAGAGAATCACTGCAGAGAATCACAACTGGGAGAAAATTATCTTTCTCACATAATACCACTAGGTGGCGCTTCAAACTAACATTTTGCGCTGTCCACTTCAGAACGTGAGGCCACAGGTGTAGGACAAACAGGGAGTTGTCTGCAAGCGACAGATGTGGACACTTCCAAAATGTCAGTGTCTTTTTTTTTTTTTTTTTTAAAGATGACCGGTAAGGGGATCTTAACCCTTGATGTCAGCACCACCAGCTCTCCCAAGTGAGCCATGGGCCGGCTCTAAAAATGTCAATGTGACAACAGGGTGCAATGCCAGATCCTTGACTGGTTCCTGGGTTGGGGAAAAATGCTACAAAGGACATTATTGGGACATGAACATGGGCAGTTCTGAATATGGACTAATTATTAGGTGCTAGTATAATCGATGCAAAGTTTCTTAAATTTGATAATTACGCTGTGGTACATAGAATGACCTTGTTCTTAGCAGGTGTCTGCAGAAGGGTTTTGGGTCTACATGATGTCTACAACTTACTTTGAATAGTTCAGCAAACAAAACAAACAACTCTCCCTCCCCCCTCTTCTATGTATATACCTATGGAAATATAGATAAATAGATACAGGTGCTTACATCTGTGTAGCTATCTATATAAACATCTATACAGAAAGAGAGAAAGCAAATATTAACAACTGGTGAATCCATGTAAAGGGTAAATGGTTGCTAATTTTATTAGTCTTTCCATTTTTCTGTATGTTTGAAGTTTTTCCAAACCAAACAAAAAGGTGAGTAATAATAAAAATATTTTTAAAAATAGTTAAACAAGGGCTGGCCCGTGGCTCACTCGGGAGAGTGCGGTGCTGATAACACCACGGCCCGTGGCTCACTCGGTAGAGTACGGTGATGATAACACCAAGGCCATGGGTTCGGATCCTATATAGGGATGGCCGGTTTGCTCACTGGCTGAGCGTGGTGCTGACAGCACCAAGCCAAGGGTTGAGATCCCCTTACCGGTCATCTTTTTAAAAAAAAAAAAAAAAAAAAAAGTTAAACACCAGAGCACCTTTGTGTAAGCATAAATAGGGTAGCCAGAATCTCTTGTATAATGTGGCATAATCGATGGCATTTGTGGACATACACATTCTTCCTTGGAAATTTTCCTGGGAGCATTGGAGTACTTATGAAAACTGTTCCTACCAATAAAAAGAAGTAACAAAAACCACGGTGTGGCCGCACTGCCTGGGCCTGCTGCATGCATGCACTTCTGTGTGTGCTGAACGGGCCTGTGGACCCAGTGAGGCCAGAACTTTAGTAGTTTAGACAGAATTTTTGATATAAATATTTTAAGTTTTTCAATGTTGGTAATAAATTTAGAAGTAAAAACAAAAACGAAAAACCTGTTGGCCAAACCAAGCATGTCTAGCACCTGGATCTGGCTGTCCCCAGTCTGGAGGCTCAGCAAGGAAGAGGACACCAGCCCAGGCCATGGCTCTCCCTGCCTTGAGGAGCCAGGCCCTGGGCAGGGCAGACGGTGACAGCCCCTAGGGAGTCTGGCCCAGGGAAGTGGGGTCTGCGATTCCAGCTCAAGAAGCCCAAAGCCCCCAGGACTGGGGCAGACAGAAGAGTCCATTCTCTATGAAGGGTTTGGCGGCTCTGGTGGAGGCTGGGCTGTTGGAGGGGAGACAGGAATGGTCTGGATGACCCTGGCCTATCTTAGGAGGACACATCCCCTGGCCTGTGTCCCTAGCAGTGATGGGGACTCACCCAAGGCATCACTGGCACTTTGGGTGAATGAGACACCCCGCCATGGCAGAGGCAGATGGACATATCCTTGGGAGGCCAGCCAGGGGTACCACCAGCATCCAGGTGCTCAGGCAGCTGCCATGTCCCGCTCTGTCCTATGAACCCCGTTGGGTGCCCCCTAGACCCCTGAGATGCACCCTTGACCCCATGGTGTCACCTTACCCGGTTGCCCTGTGCTGTGTTGTCCTGCGTGCGGTAAGAGACCTGGGACTTGCCATTGTCCAGGATGCGCCGGATAATGGGAATGCGGGCCACTTGGTCACTGCGGCTGACGGAGTACTCCGGCTGCTCGAAGGACACCACCCCGCTGGCTGCAAGGAGCCCGTTGCCGGTCAGGGTCTTAGACTCAGTCCCTTCTCAACCCCTGCCCCCGCCTCTGGCCCAGCCCAGCCCAGACTCCAGGAGTCTGTTTGATACCCTCACCCCACTGCCCTGTGGGGAGGGCAGAAGAATGGGGTTGAAAATTCTACCAGAAAAAGTTGAGGGGCTGCCTCAGTCCCTTCTCAACCCCTGCCCCCGCCTCTGGCCCAGCCCAGCCCAGACTCCAGGAGTCTGTTTGATACCCTCACCCCATTGCCCTGTGGGGAGGGCAGAAGAATGGGGTTGAAAATTCTACCAGAAAAAGTTGAGGGGCTGGAACAAAGTGTCCAACAGATATCCTGGAAGGGTCAGGAGAAGGCCAAAGGTCTATGAGTCCTGGAGTGGTAGGGGGGAGGTCAGGGGCCAGAACAGGCCTCTGGATGCAGGGACGGTCATCAGCACCTCGGTTGTCCATGGTGCAATGCCTTGCCTGACACCCCCCACCCCCAGATAGAGAGGAACAAAGGGCGGGATGTGGGGCGGTGCCAGGAGGAGACGGCACTCATGATGAAGCTAACGGAAGTTCCCACTTCCGCTTACTACCAGGCACCGTGTGAAAAGATGTACCCATTTTACAGATGGAGAAACCAAGGCCTGCAGAGGCTGAGTGACTGGCCCTGGCTGCATGGCCAGATCCCACTTCCACCTGGATCAGGAGGAACCAGGTGCTCCAGGGCCCCCTCTCTGCCTCCCCTGCTCTCCCCACCCTAACCAACCTTGCTCCTTGATGATGGTGATGTTTACCAGGCGGCGGCCAAGGGTGGCAGTGCCCACGGGCACATCAATGGCTTCCACCAGCAGCTGTTTCTCATCATCATCCTCAGGCCGGATGAAGAGGGGCACCCGCACATCCACCAGCTCCACACCCTCCTGGAACTCCACCATGCCCCGGGCATCTGGGTGGGTGTTGGAGGTGGTCAGATGTGTGTCACGGGGCCACGTGGGTGGGAGGCACGAGGGAGCGGCGCGGGGAGGCTGCCCACCTACCCTGGTCTGCAGTGAGGGTGTAGTAGCCCGGGGCCACCTTGAGCTCATGGAAGGCCCCCTGTTCCACCTGCTTCTCTGTCAGCTTCAGCAGGGCCTGCTTGGCTGAGCGGGGCGCCATCAGCACTGTGTCTACAATGGTGTGGTCTTGCCTGGGTCAGAGGGAAAGGGGGGATCCAGGCAGGGGAGGTGACAGGCTGCCACCTGCCCTGGTCTGTCCGTCCTGCCTGTCCTCTCCCCAGCAGTGAACAAGTGCAGGGTATTCAGTGAACAAGACAGCAAATTGTGCAGGGTCTTCAGGGCCAGGCAGGGCTAGAGGCCCACACAGGCCTCACCACCCTCACCTGCAGCCCTGGCCCAGCCACTGCACCTCCCTGAGCCTCAGTGTCCTGTCTGTGAAATGGGCTTCCCCACCCACCTCATCAAGAAGGGCTGGTGATGTGAGTAGATGCCAGAGAGCAAAAATGCTCGTGTGTGGGCGCTGAAGTCGGACCACCTGGGTTCAAGTCCTGCTCTAGTTCTTGACAGCTGCGTAAACTTGCACAAGTCACTTAACCTCTCTGAGCCTTAGTTTCCTCATCTGTACAATGGGAATGCAATGGGACCTGCCTTACAGGGTTGATGGGAGGGTTGGATAAGATACCCACACACATAAAGCCCTTACAGCCCATCGTGAGCATCACAAATGCTGGCCTAAATCGTGCTTCTTGATGGTGATGTGCTGTTATTCTGTTTCTGATGTCTCTACATCGGGGCCCCCACATCCCTCTCCTTTGAAGGGCCAGGTCTTGGGGTAGACACTGGGGAGAGAGGCACGTGATCTGTGGCCCATCTTCTTGGTAACCTGCCTGATGTCCAGAGGTGCCCCCAGGATCAGGGTCTGGACCCTGGAAAGGATGGAGCTGGGCATGGGGCTATCCCTGGTACCGGGCGGGAGACTGTCGCCAGTACGAGGGCAGGGACTGGGTCTGCTGGGTTTTGCCTGTTCTAGCCCCGGAGGCTGCTTCATAGTAAGTGCTTTCTGTGAGTATTTGTTGAAAGAATGTGCAAAAAAGGAACAAATGAGGGTCCTCTCCCTTCCCATGGGATGAAGATGGAGATGGGGCAGGGGTGGCTGGGCCTGGGGACGCGCAGGAAGTGGGGGCTGTCCCACCTGTGTAGCTTCAACTCACTTTTTCCCAGCATTGGGCTGCTGCCTGTGAAAGACAAAGAGGGACCAGATGATCCCTGGGGCGAGGTGTAATCTGCATGGGGGCTTAAACTGCTGGGGTTGGCTTCATGGGCAACTCCCCCACCCAACCCTGGGGAACTAGGTTGCCTGGCTTGGGGCTGCAAGGCTCGTGCAGCCAGGCCACTCCCACCCAACTGAGGGCACCCGGGACTCACCGGAACTTAGTCTGCTGGAGCTTGTGTGCACCTGTGATCTGTCTGTACACCTCGTTCAGCTGCCAGGCAATGGAGGGCCGTGAGGCTGGGCCCTGGGGAGCCAGGTGGGCTCTCTACCCAAAGGACCTCTCAGGGTTGTCTGGGGCACGCCCATGGGGTCATGTCCTGAGACCCCGGCTCTGTGGCCTCCGTCCCCTCTGGACACATTCCCAGGGAACAGATCCCAGGTGGTCTCCATGCCAGGCACATGTCCAAAGAAGATCCTCTTTCCCACCTGGGAAGATCTAGGTTCTGCAGCTGCTTCCCCAGCCACCCACGCCCCACCGCCCTGGGCTCATCTTTGGTCCTTACATTCTCCTCCACCTCCTGGCGCAGCTGGTTACATTCTCGAGTGTCGGGCTTCAGCAGGTTCTCGGTGCAAAGGCGGGCAAGGCGCAGGGACCTTGGTGTTATCAGCACCACACTCTCCCGAGTGAGCCACGGGCTGGCCCCAAGACACTTGTTTTTCAAACATATCTGATCACGGAACTCCTTTACCGTGTAACACACACTAACATCTCACGAAACCAGGGGTTACTACACAGTGTGGCCTCTGTCCCCTATGTTTCAGCATCCCGTGCTGCGCCATCCTACACACTTTCCTGTCTTGTCTGCTCTCCCCATTGAGACTGCAGCTCATGGTGGGCAGGACCCTTCCTTCCCTATTGTGGCTCCCATGCCATTTGCACGTGGCCCCAGGGCAGGTGCTCCTGAGGATCTGGCCACTGACAGTTGGCAGAGGGAGGGACGTGGTGGGAAGGGCACTGGAGCTAGGGCAGATGTGTGTTCGCCTGACCTTGGCCACATATGAGGATGTATACGTTCCCTGTTTCTCTGAGCCTCGGTTTCTCCATCTGTCATAGGGGATAGTGATTTTGCACCACTGACCTCATGGGGAGACCAAGAGGAGAAAATGAAGTCACGTGGACACCCTCTATTGTGACAGCACAAAGAGCCGCGGGGAGCTTAACAAAGAGCTGAACTCATCACCAGCACTTAGGAGGCTGGACGTGGGGGCTCAGGGCTAGGTTAGTGGGGGTCGTCAGGAGCCAGGCTCAGGAAGGGGTGGGAACTAGCCAAGGCTTAATATGGTGCTTATGACGGGCTGGTCCCTTTCTGAGAACTGTACATAACTTAACTCGTTTAAGCTTCATCACTACTTTCTGACGTCAGTTCTACTCTTCCCATTTTACAGATGAGGAAACTGAGGCATGGAAAGAGTAATTGCCCAAGGGCAAAGCTGCAGACTCTGGATAGGAAGTTACAGAGGTGGGGACCCTGGTAGTGGCTGGGAGCCCTGGGGAGGACCCTGAGGGGATCTGGGGCACTGGGAGGACCTGAGAGTGCTCACCTTGCAGCAGGCACAGTACTTCCAGCAGAGCAGCAGCAGCAGTGCCAGGAGCGGCAGGAGGAGGATGAGCAGAGGGATGAGCCACCAGAAGGAGCCGGGTGGGCAGTCTGGGAAGTGAGGAGGAGGAGGAGGAGGGAGGCGGTGCCCCCTCCCCCCACCGAGGCCTGACAGGCCACCGCTCCCCACGCCTGGCCCTCCAGCTCACCCTTCTTCCTGTGCACCAGGACGGTGCTGTTGGGGCCGGGGGTGCCATCGCCCTCCACAGTGTAGCTGTAGGTGCAGTCGTCATCCTCATCCCGGAAGGAGCAGTACTCCACCACCTCCTCTGCTGCACCCACAGACGATTAGCAGGGCACCCTAACCCCCACCCCACCCCGGAGCACTCCAGGCCTGGAGAGGTGCCCCCTCCTCTGGGGCCCACCCTGCCCACTTCAGGGCCTGAGGCACCTCCCTGGGGAGGAGTGTAAGCCCCTGGCAAGCTGTGCCCTTCCCTGGCACAAGAATGGGGCCATGTGGGGATGGCCCTGCCCAGGGCTGGCCCCAGGAGCATCAAAGCTTGCAGATCTGTGTCCCCCACTTCCCTGACCTGAGCATCTGATCTGAGCTACAGGAGGGGAGGCAGTGTACCTCCCTAGCCTGGCTATGTGCCCCCACCTGGGCCATGGGCCCCACCCAAGCCAGAGCCTCCTCACCAGACTTTGCCCCTGCTCAGCTGTGTGCCCCCTGGACCAGTTCTGTGTGCCCACCGCTTGGGCTGTGTGCCTCTTGACCAGACTTTTTACCCCTTTCCTGGATATTTTGGCATCTCCTGTCTGGGTTCTGTGGCTGCTCTCAGTTTAGGAACTCCTGTCTGGACCATGTGACCCCAATTCAGATTGCGAACCCTGCCCAGTGAGTGACACCTGTCCTGTGACCCCCAGCTCTTGGCCCCTGCCCCTGCCCCCACCTTTCTTAAGCTCGTCCACCATCTTGACCTTGAAGCTGCACTCCTCACATGTGCGCCCCTTCTTCTCCCCGGTGCCCCAGGCCTGGCACTGCACGCAGGAGCGCAGGTCCTCGCAGAGGCCCAGGCGGATCTGGGCAGGGAGGGGAGGGGCAGACATGCATTGTGCTGGGTGGGTCTCTGCCAGGCCCTATTCCCCCAACCTCATGCCCTTGGTTGGCTCCTACGGCACCAGGCTCAGCCCCTCCTACCCACCCTGCCCTGTGCCTGGGGTTCCCATGCCCACACCCCAGTGATCCTGGCCTCACCGCTGAGTAGTTGATCTCGCAGATGGTGTCCGTGTAGAGCGACTGCTGGTTGCAGTGGCAGCGGCCACACTCACAGTGGCCACGCCCGTTACAGATGCCCTGGGGCAGGAGGGGGCACCGGTAAGCCAGCTGTGCCCCATCCTGACCCACTCCCCTCCCCTCTTTCTACTGGGTTCTCTTCTGAGAGGGTGGGTGGCCCTGACTGGGCCCCTTCTGCCACCCCATGCCTAGGCCTACCCCATTGCTGTCGATGCAGGTGGCATTGCTGAGGGGACAGTCACAGCCTGGGCCTGTCCAACCAGGTTCACACACACACTGGCCCATGGAGCAGCGTCCCCGATCTGCAGAGAGGGGCAGGGAAAGGAGAGAAGACAACCGCATTTGCACCAGCAGTCCAGGCTGCCCACCTTCCTGGGAGAGCCTATGAGAGCTGAGCCACGATAGCCGGATGTTTGGGCAGGGGCAGAAGTCACTTCTTCCTCACTTTCCCAGAATCTCCTTCCCTCCATCTCTCCCGCTCCATCCCACCTTCTACCTTCCACTCTGCAGCCAGAGTCATCATCCCAAAACACAGATCTGATCATGTGGCTTCCCTGTTTAAGAACCTCTAAAGTATCCAGGCCAATGCAATAAGGTAAGAAAAAAAGAAGCAAAATGCATAAATATTGGAAAATAAGAAGTGAAACTGGGCTCTCTGGTTAGCTCAGTTGGTTAGAGCATGATGTTATAACACCAAGGTCAAGGGTTTGGATCCCCACACTGACCAGCCTCCAAAAAAAAAAAAAAAAAAAATGAAGTAAAATTCTTTCTTTTTATTTTTTTAAAGATGACTGGTAAGGGGATCTTAACCCCTGAGTTGGTGTTGTCAGCACCACGCTCTCCCAAGTGAGCCACGGGCCGGCCCTATTTTCTTTTTTTAAAAATAAGATTGCTCCTTCCGAAGCCCTTTTCAAGTATCAGGAACATGTCACAAAATATTCAGAAGAATCTACAGATAAATTATTAGATGTCCTATGTGGGTTTAGCGAGGTGGCAGGACACAGGGTTAACATGCAAATAGTTAGAAAACGAAGTTAAAACCTACAATGCCTACCTTTCGTCCAAAGGATAAAGTCCTGCCCTGGGCTAGAACCTGAGCCTTTTGCACTCTGGCCCTGCCTCCTTCCTGGCAGCGTCGCCCGCCCCTCCTCTCACACTTCCACCTGTGCCAACTGTCTGCCTTTCTCCAGATGTGCCCTGTTCTCCCTTTCATCTCTCCGAGCAAACTCTGGGATGGGAGTTGAAGAGAAGAAAGGCAGACGAAAGCAGGAGTGGAGGAAGGGTAGCAGTGGGGGCTTAACAAGGATTTGATGAGTGGATTTTCATTCATACTCCTCCATGTAACCACCAATCCTTCCATGTGCCCTGTTGTCTGGGGTCTGCACCCCCACCCAGACCCCGTGCCCACGGCCTGGGCCCAACACTGTGTTAGGCCCTGTGGGGATACAGAGGAAGCTTAACTCCCAGCCCTGCCCCCTAGAAATGTGGCATCTTCAGAAAGAGGAAAGAGTGCCATGCCATATACCTGCCAACCATAAAGCCTTGAACTGGGTGGGAGCCACCCAAATGAGATGGAGGCTTGGAGAAGGGGTGGGCACAGACATGAACTGTCAGAGAGAGCCAGGGTCTTAAAGCAAGGGAGTGTGGTGCTGGCAGGGGCCTCGGGCATCAATGCTGTAGATGAGGGAAGCGAGGTCCAGGTTTGGGGATTCTGACTCTAGCCTGGCTCTCCCAGCCTGGATCCTGAAAGGAGGGCCACCTTTCTGCCCTGCCCTGCCCTGCCCTGCCCTGCCCTGCCCTCAGTGCTGGCCGTGGCTGCTGGGCTCACCGTTGCAGAGGAACCCGGACGTGCGTGGACACTGGAAGTTGTCGTACTCGCAGAACTGACCCTCGTAGCGGCCTTCGCCATAGCACACACAGCGCCCACACTGGCACTCGCCATGGCCCGAGCACGGCTTGTCCTCGCCCTCCCGCAGGCAGGGCTGCGTGTCGCTCAGCGAGCCGGTGGAGCAGTTGCAGGTCTTGCCGCTCCTGCAGGAGGAACCGGTCACATCTCCACAGCACCCCAGGGAGGAAGGCTGGGGCTTTTACTGTCCCATTTTACAGATGAGGAAACTGAGGCTCTGAGAGGGCTATGGCAGGTCCAAGTCACATAGACAGCAGTGGCTAAGCTGAGACCCAAACCTCAGTCCTCTGTTACCCGCCTCGGTGTCCCTTCTGCACTGTTATTCTGCCTCAAGTAACAGCAGACTTGTTCAGTGGCTTGAAGCTTTATTTTTTATTTTTATTTATTTTCTTAAAAAGATGACCGGTAAGGGCATCTTAACCCTTGACTTGGTGTTGTCAGCACCACACTCTCCAAGTGAGCAACCCGGCCATCCCTATATGGGATCCGAACCCGTGGCCTTGGTGTTATCAGCACCACGCTCTCCTGAGTGAGCCACGGGCCGGCCCCCGGCTTGAAGCTTTAAAAGTCCTCACTACCATTCATTTATGAGCTCATTTCTGATTAGGTGATACGTGCACATAGCTCAAAATACTAAAGGTATGAAAGGTACGGAGTAAAAAGTAAGTCTCCCTCCTGCGTCTGCCCCCAACACTCAGACCCCTGACAGCCACCACCGTCTCAATCCTCGCACATCTTTCCAGAGAAAGTACATATTCCTGTGTATTTCAAAGTGCTTTGGGGGCTGGCTGGTTAGCTCATTTGGTGGACTGTGGCGCTGGTAACACCAAAGTCAAGGGTTCGGATATACTTACCGGCCAGCCACCGGAAAAAAAGTGCTTTGAACTGGATTTGCCCAACAACTGGGTTTGCCCCTCTCCTCGCCCTTTCTGTAATCTGTCACCGTACCCCCAGCCAGGCATACAAGGTGACCCAGGGTCAGGTGCCTGCAGGGGCCCAGCCCCCTCCCAGGGCCTCTGTCCTCCTGGGTGCTGGACTCCACTGCCCACACTCACCAGCCCTCACTGCACACACAGTGTCCACACATGAAGTCTCCATTGAAGTTGCAGCGAGCTGACTGTACCTCTTTTTGCTGGAACGAGATCATGATGGGGTGCATGGAGGCAGGGAGACCAGGGCCACTGGACACTTCTGCTGCCATCTGTGCCCCAGGGCACCCCGCAAGGGAGATGTGACCCTGGGAGCCTCTGCTTCTTGCTCGGGGCCCTGCTGCTCGGCTCAGCCCTCCCTCCCGCCCGGAGGGGCCGCGTCCTACCAGCTCGCAGGCGCACACGTCGCAGAGGATGCCCACATCCATCTGGAGGCCGTCGGAGAAGGAAGGCTTCAGGTGGATATTGCCCTTCTGGTCTTCTCCTGGCAGCAGGCACACATGCGTCCCATCCAGGTCCTCGAGGGCCCGCAGCTGTACTTGGTACAGGCCCTGCAGGGACCCCACTGTCAGCCAAGGCAGCCCCAGCCCCAACCATCAGGGGCCACTTGTTCCTGAAGGCCCTCAGCCCTCAAGCTTCCAGGATGTGCCTGGATTCCTGACACCAGCTCCCTGCTTGCCCTTCCTTAGGGCTCTAATCTCCTTCCCTCCAGGCACAGTCACAACAATAACAGTAGCAAGAGCCTCTTTCGGCTGTTACATTAGCCCGTTTTCTCACCCTAGCAACCCTCTGAGCTTGATGCTTTTATTAACCACCACTGTATGGATGAGGATATGGGCTAGCCAAGGAATGTGCCAACCTCAACCAAGTGGCCAACCCAGAGGGATCTGAACCCAGCCCCACCTGACTCTGGGGGTCACACTCTCAACCAGTTTAAATGACTCCACCCCTCGAAGAGTGCTGTGCCTGTCCCCCCTGCCCCCCTGCCCCCACAGAGGCATACCACTTCCCCCCGCCGGATGTGAAAGGACCCAGTCTTGGTCTTTTGGTACATCTTGGAGGTGACCTCTGTCCGTAGGCCTCGGGGGCTGTCCAAGGCCCGGATGTCCAGGTTGGAGCGAATGCGCTAAAGGAGGACAGGTGATCAGAGGTCTGGGGGGAGCTGCAGGGAGCCTGGGCTTGTCCGCTCTGGCCTGGCTGTGCTCCACCCCAACCTACATAGAGGACTGGTGTGGTGTTGGGGGGGATCACAGTGGCAGAGCCTGCAGATGCCGGGGCCAGGCCCACGTGGGCTCCTCAGGGCCCATAGGGACCCTTCCTCACTGGCCTATCCCATCCCCATTTCTCAACCGTGACCTGAGACCCCCCCCTCGCCCACCATGCTCCCTCTCCAGCCCTGCCCCAGAAAGACTCAGAGTCTGGAGCCCATGCTGCCCCTCACATTGAAGGCCTCCTCCAGCAGCTCCACGATGTTGGATGAGTCCTCCTGCAGCACCCCCAGTGAGGAGACCGGGAAATACGTGCGAAGCTTCTGCAGGGAGAGAATGCCAGGCCTCCGGCTAAGCAGCCCATTGAATCCGGACAACAGCTCTGGGGTTATGCCCACTTTGTACATGGGGAAACCGAGGCCTGGACCTAGTGGTGTGTTTCATACCCTGATCTCTTAGCCCCAACTGCTTGGGGGATGGGCACGTGACCTCCTCTTCCCACCAGGGACCACTCTTGGGGGCCCAAAAGCTTTGGGAAGGAAGGTAGGAAGGAAGCATTTCTGAGAAGTTCCACAAGCCCTGCCCCGATCCCCTCTCGCCCAGTGAGCCCAGGCCCGCACCTCGTAGTAGCTGTAGGAGTAGTTGGTGACTGCGAAGATGGGGATAATGTTGTGCTTGCCGAGCAGGCGCACTAGGGTGGGCACCGACGGGTAGTCCTGCATCCCATACTGGGTGTAGGTGCCCGTGGCGTCCAGGTGGCACTTCTCATCATTGCGGCTCATGATGCCTGCCAGCACGTTGGCACCATCTGCCTCATAGTGGAAGGCTGACTCGGTGGAGAACACCAGCAGATGGGTGCTGTCGGGGCGCCAGCCGATGTCCCTCTGGGGAAGAGAAGGAGGGGCATGCCCATGGAGCAGGCTGCCTGCCGAGCACACGCATCACAGAGTCGTGCACAACAGGGAAAGCGGCTCCCAACACAGAGTGGGCTTAAGCCACAGGATTGACACTGTGTGACAGCACGTGAGTGAAAAACAGAAATTAGCAATGGGGGAATGAATGCAGTGTCAGCGTGCACGGTGGGTGCTGCACAACATTCAGACCAGGTCCATCTGACTGCCCACCCCCCAGGCCCCTAACACTCTGCAAGCATATTTTATCTGCATAGAAAAATGTACACTACACAACATTAAATGAAAAAGGCCACTTAAAATAGGTACAGCAGTGTATGGCAATTTGTTAGAAAAATATATGGGGAGGGCTGACAGGTTAGTCCAGTTGGTTAGAGCACAGCCTTATAACACCAAGGTCATGGGTCTGGATCCCTGTACCAGCCAGCCGCCAACGTGAGGTGATTTTGAAAACTAAGCATTACAAGGAAAAATCGCTTATGATAGGGTTTAAGCAAAACAAACAAACAAAAAAGGGCAAGCTTCAGGATTATGAGTACACTGATTACAAATATATAAAAATATGGAGGGCTGGCCCGTGGCTCACTCGGGAGAGTGTGGTGCTGACAACACCAAGGCCACGGGTTCGGATCCCATATAGGGATGGCCGGTTTGCTCACTGGCTGAGCGTGGTGCTGACAACACCAAGTCAAGGGTTAAGATCCCCTTACCGGTCATCTTTTAAAAAAAAAAATAAATAAAAAAAAATAAAAATAGAAATAAAAATAAAAAATAAGGAAAAAGGAACAAAATATGCTGGTAGGACATCGAGTGGCTGGCTATTTGATGATGGTGAAATTATGGGCAATTTCTGTTCTGTCTTCTAAATTGTCTCTAACATGGATATATTATTTTAAAAATGAAAAAAATTGATGTACCCATGAAAAGAAGTGGCCTCTTCAGCTGCCCAGCACAGCTGGAGACTGGGCAGTTTGTGGATCCTAGGAGATTGGTTGGGACGATAGCCTTAGGGCACTGAACATTCCAGAACCCCAAGGCCAAAATCTGCCCTGCTGGCCAATAAAAAACCAGGCTGTGATTGCCCTGGCCGGGGTCCTTGGCCCCAGGCACATCTACACCCAGATTGTATCTGAGGACCATTCAGAGGGTCTGAGCTTGTCTTAGGGTATGGGGGCTGCAGGCTCCTGGGCATCTCTTCAGGGCCTCTGAGCCTGGTGCCAGAGCAGGCCAGCAGGCAGCTCATGCCCTTGCCGAGAAGCACCTAGGCTGGCAGTGCCCTCCCTGGTGCTCACTGTGCACACGGCCGTCTGCAGGATGGCATCGAAGCCACCTTCAGGAGCATCCAGGTTGCCTGAGATCCGCTCTCCCTGCAGTTTATTCCGGAATTCATCCACATCTTCCGTCAGGCTGATGACATTCTTGAAGGAGAAGGGGGGGTCACTGTTGGGCCAGGGTTCCTTCAGCCTGGGCACAGGTAGGAGGGAGAGAGAAAGAGCATCAGTGGGGAGAAGACCCCCCCATACCGCAGTGCCTGCAACTCATTAAAGCCAGAAGGAGAATTTTAAGTGCCAGACTGAGAGGAGAGGTGGGCCACAGGGCCAGGACCCCTGCCCACCCAGGGCACACTCAGTCACTCACTTCTCCGGCCTCATGTCCGTCTGAGGGACGCTGACTTTGTCCACAAACTTGCCAAATCCAATAGTGTAGTCACTGGTGAGCTGGCTCAGGACCCGGGCTGAGTGTCAACAGGAAAAAGAGGAGACGGCTGAGCTCCAACACCCCACATAAACACGGGGTCCCGGGGCTGGCTCCGGAGGGAGGAAGGAAAAGAGTCACCTATAGTTAACACTTTGCATGTTGGCCATCGACTCATGCACACGACAGCTCTTGTCCCTCTTCACAGATAAGGGAAATGGCATTCAGGGGACGAGAGTTACCCACAGAGCACGTCATGGGGGGCAGAGCTGGGAGACTGAACCCAGCTCTGTCTGCAGCCCTGAGACTTAAGCACAGGCTGGTGGGCGGGCGTCCTCCTCATCAGGAGGGCCAGATGGCTCGCTGCCCATGGGTGTGATGGCTTCTCTGAAGTCCCAAGTGGTGAGCGGGGTCTGGCTGGGACTCTCCCCTGAGAATGGCGGGGGGGCGGTGTTTTGAGGAGCTCAGATGCTCAGATGTCCTGTCTGTCCTTGGGGGGTGGGTGCAGCTGTCCTGAGTCCCAGCCTCCCGAGCAGGTGCCCAGGTAGCTGGGTGAGGCCCCACTCTCCACCTCCCGCCCTGCTATCCTCCACGCTGGCCCAGCCGTACCCAAGTTCTGCCCCATCTGCTTGAGGTTGTCCAGATCGTCGGACATGGAGTTGGAGAAGTCCATGAGGATGTACAGGTCCACGGGGCTCTCCAGGGGCTCGAATACCTCTAGCTCAAAGTGTCGCTCCTCGCCCGGCCTCAGCCGCACCCGCAGGCTCTGGGGGGACACCTGGCTGCGACGTAGGGTGGTATCGATCTGGGTCTCCTGCATCCAGAGGGGACAGACAGCTGGCTGAAGGGTCACTCCAGAGGCCTGGCGGGGAGCTGCTCAGCCCAGGCAAGGGCATATGGACCCCTATAAACAGCCAGCCCTGAGCGGAGAGGTCCCCACCTCCCTTCCCTACTCCAGGCACCTCTGTGATCTCGAAGCTGCTCTCCATAACCAGCACGCTCTCCTGCCGGCAGCCCGCGGCCAGCAGCTCCGCCTGTGTGTTGCAGCGCCGTTCCTTGAACATCTGGCAAGAAGGATGGGGTCAGTGGGGGCAGTGCCCATCCCTGGCTGTCCCAACCTTGCGTTTATTTGCTTCCGATATTGCTGACCCTGGCCTGTGCTACCACACCCACCTGGCCTGAGGCAGGGCTGAGGGCGTGGCAAGCATGGACTTGGCCACAGCCAGAGGTGGAGCGTGCAAGTCAGGACGGGACTCCGGCTGGCCCCAGGCTCAAGAAGGTGGCCCGGCCGGCAGCAGCTCACCTCATCCGTGCAGTAGGCACAGTCCTTGTCCACGCGGATGCACTCGGTGCAGCTCTTCACCTGAGCTTTCTTGCAGCGGTTTGCTGGTGGCAGAGGTGGGCACGCATGGGGATGGGCCTCACCAAGGTCCTACCCCTTTCCCACCTACATCCTCCCTTGACAGAGGTGGGGGTTCTCTCCCCATTTGACAGAGGAGGAAAGAGAGGCCAGGGAGCACGTGGTCTGCCCCAGGTAGCACAGCCAGAGACCAGCAGAGCCAAGTCTGGAGGGAAGGACGGTGGGGGCTGAGACAGGTGCTGGCCCATTTGCTGGCTGGAACACCCTGGCCATCCCCTTGCCCACTGATTCCTCAAGTCCTGCGAACTTTCCTCAGCCCTCCTTGATACCTGCAATGAGCTGTGCCCACCATCACAGCTTGTGCTTCACAGCACAGCACCTGCCACGTGACTCGCCTGGCCCCTGAGCTTCCCCTGGGGTAAAGGGGACTGTCTGTCTTATGTATGGCTGTGTCCCCAGTGACTAGCACAATGCCCAGCACAATGTAGGTCCACAGTAAATGAATGAGGCAAAATTCCAGAGTTTCTCCAAAGGTTATCAGGATTCCCTTTGGCTCTGTTCAGTTAAAATCACAGACAGGACCTACTATGTGCACCTAGTATTCACAGTGGGTGGTCTCCTGGGCTCCAGGGCCGTGGTATGCTGGTCAGTGTTTAACAATGGATCTGGTGAGGGAGGGGAAGCCCTGACTCACAGCATTTGTCAATTTCTGTGGTACAAATATGAAATCACAGACAGGACCTACTATGTGCACCTAGTATTCACAGTGGGTGGTCTCCTGGGCTCCGGGGGGCCGTGGTATGCTGGTCAGTGTCTAACAATGGATCTGGTGAGGGAGGGGAAGCCCTGACTCACAGCATTTGTCAATTTCTGTGGTACAAATATTCCCACCATGGTCTATTTCAAACTATCACCATGAGCTCAACTGACGGCAGAATTAATCGGTAGGAGCTGGTCCAGCTATTTGCCTCCGGATTCCTATAAAACCTCCCAGTCCACTTCCGAGGCCTCAGTACATCCTCTGGGGTCCTCAGCTCCCTGAGGGGCCTTAGCTCCCTACACTCGGTCTCCTTCTCCTTTGTTCTCTGGCCACACAGCCAGGCTCACGATCCTCCAGGCTAGAGGGTGGAGCCTCAGTTCTCTCGCCCTGGAGGTGTGCGGTGGTCGGCTGTAGGAGGGCCGAGTGTCTGGGCAAGACCCCCGTGAGAGGCCCCTGTGTGAGGCGATGCCCTGAAAGGTGCGCCCCTGCCCAGAGGCGTGCCACAGGGGAAGGCAACTCACCCACGTCCCCGGGGAGACTGGCGCTCAGCAGGGCTGCCAGCAACAGCCTTGCCCACGGGCTGGGACGCGGCCTTGCCATCCTCTTCCTCCTGTGGAACACAACAGTTGACATGTGCTGCCTCTACAGCCCTCGCAGGTGCCATCAGCTCACTGGATCCCCGTTGGAGCTCTACAGGAGAGGCGATGCCATTCCCATTGCACAGATGTGGAAACTGAGGCTCTGAGAGCTCCACTGATGTTACCAAGGCCGACCAGCTGCAACTAGCAGGGCCCAGGGCCCCTGACTCCTCTTTTCCACAGCCCCCTTCCTTGCCATCCCTGCAGTGGCTAGGTGCCCTGCAGGCCTACACCCTGCCCCTGGGTGCCCCCCTCCCGCCATTAGGACTCTGGGCTCCGAGCTTGTCCCAGTGTTTTTGTGCTGCTCTCCCAGAGGGCAGGACAGGCTGGGTGGGGATAGGGTCACCTAGCAAGGGGACCACCCCTGGAGGAGGCCCTAACTCTATCTCCTGCCCCCTCTGTCCTGGCCCACTCACCCTTTGGTGAGGGTGGTGTGGCCAGGAGGGGGCCCCTTCCTGTATCCGGGGTCTGGGGATGGGTCAAGGCGCTCACTGCACTGGGTGGGCTGCAATGGCTGCCTGGCCCATCAGACTGGGGCCTGAATCTACTGCCCTACCCACCTCCGCCTGACCCATGGCTGAGTTTTCGAGGACCCTGAGTGGTTCACCCTTTCAAAAGTTAGCCCAGAGCAAGATGACAGGCAGCATCTACCATTCACACCCACGCTGCAGCAGTATCCCAGGAGCCCCGGTGACATTTGGTTCACTACTGAACCATCTCGATTCAGCAGCAGCCTTCCGGGCAGGCAGGGGGAAACCTGAGGCCTTTTGAAAGATGGGCAGCCTGAAGCCTTGGGAAGAAGAGGCCAGCCACAGAGCTACCCAGGCCTGCAGAGCTGAGGGCAAAGGTTAGGGGCCGCACCTCTTTCTCTAGGCCCAGATCTCCCGTGGCCTAGGATGACGCCATGCCTACTGTCCCTCCCCCTAGAATCCTTTCTCAGCCACTGGCATGTGGGCAGGGGCAGTGCTGGAGAGGCCCTTCTCAGGCACTGTCTCCCTCCCTCCTGGCATGTGGCCCCGCGGAGGCCACCAGCAGCTCCGGCACACCACAGGCAGAACCAGCTGGGGAGAAGCGCCCTACCAGAGGCAGAGGCCAGAAAGGACCGGGCAAGGACTCCTGGGGGAAGTGACATTCTTGCAGCCTCGGGTGTAGGCACCACACCCAGAGGCTACACAATCCAAGCTGCAGACTCGGCTTTCCTGGGGCACCATTACAAGGCAGGTACAGACCCAGCTCTTACTCGCCTGCCCCATGTCCACAGGCTCAGCACACAGAGCTGACTACATGAGAGCCACATACACTCAGTGCTTCATGTCCATGACGGTTACTGAACCCGTAGGAAACCAGTTGTGGGTGGGGGCGGGGAGGTGCTTGCATTATGCCCATTGTCCAGATGAGAGGAGAGGCACAGAGGTCACAGGGCTTCCTCACCCCACAGCCAGCACTGGGAGAGCCTGGACCGACCTGGGCAGTGCAGACCCCACATGTGACCTCCACGTTATATTCAGAGGCTACAGAATGGTAGTTAGGGGCCCACATAGGAACTCAGGAGTGTTTTTTTCACTCAACTAGTGTTTAAAAAGTTTTAAAAGTTGCTGCCAACGTTAAAAACAATGATATTTCACATAAAAGTTAGGAATGTGGATTTTATTGGGAGATGTGGCCACGGCAGCCTGGGTCGAGCACTTGGGACACCACTCCCCAGGCCACCTGGGGTCCCACCAGACTTCCAGGACTTTTATGTACCAGCCAGTCCCTGGATTATGTGACTGCCACCCTTATGCTGTTGCACTGTGTAATGTGCAGCCTCCCCACACAGGGATACATGCACATACATGGACACGCACTGTGACACCCCCTCACCCTCGGCTCAGAGCTCCCTCGCATACCATCTCCCTCGCATACCATCTCCCTCCTACCCAGGGGACCCCTCTGGGCACATCTGCACCTGCCACCACAGCTCCCTCCCTTCCTGCTTTCCCACCTCCCCACCCTGGAGGGCAGGCCCTCACCCTCAGTGTCAGCTGCTGTGAGAAGCTTGGGGGTCCCCAGCTCCTCAGCTGTTGGGCCACCCACGAGAAATCAGGGCCAAGGAGACAGACACCCATTTCCTGCTGTCCTCTCTCCCCTTGGCTCCCAGCATGGAGCCTCTCAGCCTTCACTTCCAGCTTTGTTGGGGACAGCAACAACCATGCCACCGGTGCCCAGTCCTTGTGCCCAGGGCATGGCAAGGCCCTGGGGGAGAAGGACGAGCCGTGTCCCAGGCCTTGGGAGCCATCTGGAGCCCCTGTACCACACTCAGAGCCAGAGGGCCACCCTAGGGGAAAGAAGACCAGCACTGGAGGAGGTTACAGTGGTGGGCACAGCCTTGGCGCTGGTGGGTGAGGTCAGTAGAGCTTCCTCAAGGAAGGGCATCTGAAGCGACTTTGGGAGGACAGCAGGCGTGTGTTTGGCCAAGAGAAGAGGAAAATCAGGGACTCCCCAGACCGCAGATGAACCGTGGCACCACACACAGCAGGGCCTGCCCAGCCCACCAGGGAGGGGGCCTGCCTCTCAGGGTGGCTGCTCCCCGACTTTCTTTGCAAACCCGGAGGGACCCAGACCAGTAGGCCAGCCGGACTTGTGCCCACTTCCTCCGCACACCCACCCACCCAACGCCCTCCTGTAGCTGAAGGTCTGGCGGCCGCGTCCCTTCTTCCCCAGCTCCCCTGCCCTCCGTTCCCAGGTGCCCCTGGGCACACCCTGGCAGGCTGGGCACCTGCCCCGGGCAGCGTGGGCAGAGGGAATCGGGGCCTGCCAACCTCAGGAAGGGAAAGGGCAGACAAAAGCCACCCGGTCCGGCCCGGCCCGTCCCCCCGCGCGGCTGCTCAGGCTGGGGGTGCGAATCTCCCCGGCCGGCCCTGGGCCCCGCGATCGGACCTACCTGGGCGCGGACTGGCGCCTCCCCGCGCCCGGGCTGCGCGCTCGGCG